TATGAGAGACACACCAGAACACGCAGCAGACAGGACAGATAAAAATAAATAAATAAATAAATAAATAAAATGAAATGAAATGAAATGAGACAAGACACACCAGAACACACAGCAGACAGGACAGAAAAAACATTATTATTCTGACGTCTAACATGTTGAGATATTCGGACTCATGTTCTTCTGACGGCACCTGTTAGTCATTAGAGCTCGTCCAGTGACAGAGGCTTTGATATGATAATCAGAGCGAGGAAAGGCGCCGGGGATCCGTGCAGCGGATGCATCTCAACACATGACACAAATTAGCCGCGAGTTTGACCTCCGCTGATTCCCATTGATTGTGTTTTCAGGAGAGCTGCGCTGCTGATAGACGCCTTTTCAAACACGGTTTCTGTATTATCTACATGTGTCCGACACAAACACACACAACCACTTCATTTTCATAATCCGTGCACAGATCAAAACACACATACACACGCTTTCCCAAACGCTCACAGATTTCCTCGCCTCTACCAACAGACTCGGACCCCGAGGGTAAAATGAACTTATATTTATAAAAATAATCAATAAATATACATTTGTAAAAAATTACATTTATAAAATATGTTTAAAAATATATAAATAAATATTATATATACACATACTTTTAAAATACGTGATATAAATAAAATATACACAATATTTTAATAAATAATCAGCTAAATCACACACAGAAATGCAGCAACAGAGACTATACACAGAACATCATTAATCCTAATTCCTTCAAAACATATTTGAAAATAAAAATAAAATATTAATAATTGCATATATTATTATTATTATTATAGTTTTTAATGAATATTATAAAATTCATTTAGATATATAAAATTTACATTTTATTTTTATATTTTCTCTTTTCAATTTTTATTCTGCTTTAAATATATTATTTTTAAAGTTTTTTATTAGTTAAAAATGTGTCTATATTTCTTGAATGTTATTTAATTTAATTAGTTATTATTTTATATATTTACAATATTTCACAAATTAATATACTGTATGTATATTTTTTTATATTTACAATACAATATTATTTTATAATACTGTATTTCCTCTGTAATATTTAAATAGCAATATTAATTACCACGTCTGCTTTTTCATATCCGGAATATCCTTCCATAGATATATATGCATGTATGGTATTTCTTAAAGGGGTGGTCGATTGCGATTTCACTTTTTTAACGTTAGTTAGTGTGTAATGTTGCTGTTTGAGCATAAACGATATCTGCAGAGTTACGACACTGAAAGTTCAATGCAAACGGAGATATCGTCTTTTAAAATTATGTCAGTTTAATGCCTACAAAAACGGCTCGGTTACTTCCCGGGTTCGTGATGTCACAAACCCAGAAATTTACATAATTTACATAAACCCCGCCCCCGGGAACATGCAACAAAGGGGGCGGGGCCATGTTGCGTTTTTAAATGTTAAACATGGTTGCCGTGCTATATTAAAGCTTTATTCAAGATAAAACCGTATATCAAAAGCTAACATAAGCAGTAGAATTTACAAATAACAGCATATCTAAAAATATGAGACAACAACTAATAAAAAACATACCATTAAGAGCCGTGCTTGCACAGGTTTGGCGCGATCCTCTTCACTAATATCCTGTGCGTCTCATTTGGGCTTAAATTGATAAGCGATATTGACAACGCCATTGTTTACAATACAAGCAGAGCGCATTCTGAGCTGAGGGGCGGGACGTTTAGACGCGAACTGGCGTTTTAGCCAATCATAACACACTGAGGCCAGCTAACCAATCAGAGCCCATTGTGTATTTCTGAGGGAGGGGCTTCATAAAACCAGGAAGTCATCTGAGCGTTTATCAGAGAAGGGACAGAGCGGTGTAGACTAAAGGTAAATTATGTTGACTTGTGTTAATCAGCTAATGCTGATCATTAGAGAGGCATCGTTACTCGCGTGAACTCCTCGTGTGAGACAGCAGCTCGATCGATCTCGTCTCGACAAACCTGACGCTCTATTGCTCTCTCAGGACACCGACTCCAGTCTGCTCTGGTTTTTCCTGGAGGCCGGTTTCTCAGAAGGCTGATTCAGAACGTGTAAACACACACATAAATGATGGATCTGCATCTGTGTCACTTGTGTTTAGCCGTCTTTCAGAAATTACATCGTCCTGCCAAAACCAGAGAGCTCCAGCATCTATTCATCTCTTCACATTCACTAAAGGAGATATATTAAAACGTATTAAAAGCAAAAATAAATAAATATAAATAATTTAATGTAATATAAATATATTTATAAATATAAATAATTATTTTATAAAAACAATATTTTAATTTTTTATAAACATTTATTTTTATTATTTTTACTCAAAATTTATAAAATA